TTTTTAAAACCAAAGATATTCTTTTAGAATAAAAACAACTGATTTCTTTCTCAGAGAATCAGTATTATAGACCTCATTTTCTGCTTCACAAAGAAAAAAAAAAAAATATATATATATATATATATATATAAATCCCCTAAATTTCTTGCCTATCTCTACATCTGCAAATTACAGGTCGTTTCTTCTTGGTTTGTGAATAAGGTGTCTTCCTCCTCAGGCCTTGGCCTATTTCTTGGACTTCCAATTTGATCCACTTTTGCTCCCAGGCAACCCAGCTCCATCCCTTATCCCCTCTATTCTCTATCTGTTGCCTTTTGCTTCCTCTTGCTTTTTTCTTCTTTAATATAAATACATTAAGGTTTTCTTATCATAAAAGAAACAGGTGCCCAAACACCCTGATATTATATTTTCCTCTACCAGATCTTTTATTTTGGGCCACTTAATATTCTAGCTTCATTTAAAGCTTATTATAAAAAATATTTTAAAGCATATTAAAAAATTAGCATAGGGTCTTTGTCAGTTATTTAAAATATACAAATAAATAAAAAGAATAAATTTAAATTAATCAAATGTTTACCATTTGATGTACCATTAATATTTTGTTATGTATAAGTGTATATTTTAACAACTTGTTAATCGTGCTTCTCATCAAAGATTCTCCTTACAATAAATTTTAAATGGATAGAACCATAGTATTTTAAAATTACATGTGTCATAATTTATGTAAATAGTTTCCTATCACTGCATATTTAATTATATTATTATTATTGTTACTGTTATTATTATGAACGAAGAAGTGAAGTTTCTTGCAACTAAGCAATGGCATTTCTCCTTACAAATACATCCTATAAGTAGAATTAGTAGATCCAAATATATATTTTTTAAAGTTATAGATTTAAAAACAATATTGTAGAAAATTTGTATCAAGTTATTTTTCTCATATATCAAAAAATTGTTCTGTAAAGATTTTCATTGTTTTCTTTTATTTTTGAACATTTTCACAGTCTATTGATTATTTGAATTTGTAATTTGTGGATTTTTATTTTGTATTTTGCCATTTTTTCAGTTGGAGCAATCACTATTTTTATATTAGTTTTCTTTGTATTTTGAGGATACTGACCATTTTATTTTTAATGTTATGTTAATATTTAACTAATATATTTGTGCATATTTTCTGATTTGTTTCCCTTATTCATATTTGTAAGTTTCATATGTTGAGTTTTTCAAATATTTAAGTAATACATTCAGTAATGTTACCTTTTTTTTTTATTGTTTATGTTGTCAAATTTAGAAAAGCCTTAGCACTTTTAGGCAATTGTTTTTTAAATAAAATTCTATTAAAGGTTGATGTGCATACACTAAATTGCACAAACAGAAAGAACAAAGTTTTAATAATATATCTTAGTATCCAGATCAAAAACAAAACAGCCAGAACCTGGAAGGACATCATGCTCTCTCCCTAGTAGTACTTCAACCACCTCCATTGTTTTTTTTAACATTTGGAAAAATAAAATTATACTGCACTGTTCTTTCATGGCTCACCTCTTTTGCTTAATGTTTTGTTTATGAGGTTTGTCTTGTGCTGCATGTATTCTTCTTTGGTGCATGTAGTTCATACTGCCATGAATATTTTAATATGCCCTCCCCCATTGGTTGGTGATGTTCAGTATTTTTCATATATCTTTTTGTCATTTATATGCTTTCTTTTGAGATTACTATGACTAGTTATACAACAAATCAATAGCCTATAGAAATGATTAAATTGCTAGAAACATATAACCTACTAAGTATAAATTATGATGAAATAAAAAAATATGAGTAGGCCAATGAGTAAGGAGTTTAAATGATCAATCATAAAGCTCCCAACAATCAAAAGCCTAGGACCTGATGGCTTCACTGGTGAATAATCCCAAGCATTTAAAGGATAATTAACACCAATCTTTCTCATGCTCTATCAAATAATAAAATGGGAGGGTACAATTCCAAACTTAATTTAGGAGGCCAGCATTATGCAAATACCAAATCCTGAGAAAAAAATCTGTAGGAAAAGAAAATTCATGCCAATATCCTTGTTGAACATAGATGCAAAAATATTCAACAAAATATTTGCAAACAGAGCACATGAAAAGAACCATATACCTAGACCAAGTGGGTTTACCCCTGGAATTCAAGAATGGTTTAACATACACCTATCACTAAATTTGAGATATGTCAATGGAATGACTTAAAAGAACATACAATCATCTTAGCCATGCTATGGTCCTTTGCAAACAGATGCAGAAAAAGCACATAAAAATAGTGTCTGTAGGATAAAAATTTCTCAATAATTTAGAAGAAATATAAATAATAAAGTCCAAATATGACAATCCCACAGCTAACATCATATATAATGTGAAAAGTAGAAAGCTTTTCCTGTAAGATCAAGAACAAAATAAGGATGACTTACTCTTGTCACATTTAGGTGACATAATACTAGAAGTCCTGGCCAGAGCAATTAGGTGAGACAAGGAAATCCCTGATTTTCAGATTTTCTTCTTTTTTAGTAAAGTATCATCTTACTATTTTTTTAAAAAAGTTTTTGTGTATCTTTTTTTATTTCCCTTTGCTTCTCTTTTTAGGGAGATAAAATATTTTATGTCCTCCATTAATTTTTCAGTATATTTCATTTCACTATCTGTTGACTATTAGCTCTAGATTACAATATACATTTTAGAATTATCTTCAAAACAATTGCTATTTTTACCTTATTTCCAATACTACTAGATTATTAAAATCCTTTAATTTTATTCATGCATTTTTCACCTTTTGCATGTGTTTGGTTCTATGTACATTAAAAGCTTTGTAAGACATTACTACTATTTGTGTCGAATTAATTGATATTCACCACATTTTTACCTTTTCCCTAGTACTTCACATGTTTAAACATTGTCATGGTTTCCTCTGTGATTATTTTTCTTCTGCCCAAAGAACTTAATTTACTTAGTATTTGTTTCAGTGGAAGTTTGTTTGTGATTGAATTTTTTCAGATTTTTAAAAATTTTCATTACTACAGGTAAAAAACTATCAAAGATATTTGAGTCCCTTTCCTATATAGTGAAAAGAAGATGACTATTAAGGAAGAGTGGGTATTATAGACTTTCTTCAATTTTTCTGACTTTAATGGAATTTTCTTTCCATTCTACTGTTAAATATAACATTTACTATTAACTTGTGATTTTTAATCTTCATAAACTATCACCATCTTTATTTGTTTTCTAAGTCTTTTTAAAATAAAAAATAGTTAATGACATCTTTCAAGTGCCTTTAAGACATCTAATAAGGTGATTGTAACTTTTTCTTTCTTGACCAATTAATGTGTTGGGTGTTATTAAAACTTTTCAAAATTTAAATAGAATTTTGAATGTTTTTTACCTTCATGGGTATATGACATTCATTCAACTTTTTCTTGAAAGCATTTCCTTACTAGATTGTTTTACTCTTACACCAACACCTTTTCAATGTATGACAGGAGTGCTGAAATACTCAGTTTCTCTCTTTTCTTGGGTTAATATTGTTGGGTGGTTTTTGGAGGATATTTTGTCTGTGAAGTTTGCATTATCTGGACGTTTTTATTTTTTATTTTATGGAATTCCAGTAATTTCTTTAAATATTCAAAGCAATTATAAGTGAGCTAAAAGTTGAATCTGAATTATTTATTATAAAGGGAAGTAAAGGATAAGAAAGTTTTAGGTCACTATCATCAAATATTGACCATTTTGGTATCTTATTTTTATATTGCATACAAATTATAATCCTGAGTTGATGAATGTAGAAGATTCAGTTTTTAAAATTTTATTTTGCCTGTAAGAAACTATTTCAGGTGTGTTATTCTTACTTAACTTCACAAATACTTTACAATTACAAATCGTTTTTTCTGTTTTATGTATAAGATCTTAGATTTCTAATTACCTTTTATTACTGAAGTCATCACATGTTCCACCACCGTTCTCTTTATCCCATCTACCTCCATTCCTGGAATTTTTTCAACAGGTATTGTTTTTTGCTTTCTAGGCAGGTGCTCTCTATCACTTGAGGGATTTTTACCAGTCTTTTGTTCTTCATTTTTAGAGTACTAGTTTCTAGTGACAGAGGTTGGAGACAGTTCAGTATTAGGTATTTCCCTTTTCAGTCCATCCACCAAACCAACAATAAGAAAGGTATTCTGTCAGAGGCAAAGATTTCAGGTCTGTTCAGCTGAAGACAGAGCAGTAATACCAGACAGGAAGAAGGCAAGGACAGGAATGAAGCAACTGGGCTGAAACGCAGCTGGAGTAAGGTGACAGAGAGAAGGGACATGTTTTAAATTATGCTGTACATTTTATGGCTCAAATTGTATGCTACTAGGGGATCTGCATTGTTTTAGAGAGGCATAGTTCATAAATGTAAAGTGTTTTCTGAAAATGGACTTATAGTAAAATGAACAGAGAAATGTGACTTTGTTCTTTATTCTTATAAGTAAGATGTTGGCTTTTGCTAATATTTTGGACTTTTAACAAAATAATTATCGTAAAAGTTGGGCTAAAGAATTCTGACTTTTGAATTAATGAAGACAAATTTAATGCAGTTTTCCCAATGCTTAGCTTTGCAGTTTATATCATTTCAGACTATTTTCAGTTCTGGAATGGAATGCAAATTTTGTGGGGATAATTTTCAGTACTTATATTCAGTACTTATATAGAGTTGTATATATGTAAGACCTGAAATAAGTACTTACTAAAGACAGAAGGGAGTATCATATTAAAAGAGCAGTACATTTTGGCAAAAATACCTGGGTAATTTTGCCATTATGGATTCATATTAAAAGGCAATATTCTGAAGTTCATAGGACAGTAAGATAAACCTTATGCAGTTAAGCAAATTACATATACAAACACACAATTACATACGTAAAAGTCCAGAAAACTTCTGACATTTTCTCTTTATTTTCAGAACTGAGCAACTGTTCTCTTTTGTTTTGCTAGGTGGTATTTTTGAATATGTGGAATCTGGTCCAATGGGAGCTGAGGAACTTGCATTCAGATTTGCTGTGAACACCATCAACAGAAACAGAACCTTGTTGCCCAATACTACCTTAACTTATGATACTCAGAAGATAAATCTCTATGACAGCTTTGAAGCATCCAAGAAAGGTAATTAATAGATATTTGTATTATGGTTTCTGGAATTCTAATTTTCAGGTATTCTGGGGTGATTTATTAATCACATGTAGGTAGTAACTTGTTAAGAGTATTTGCATGCAAATGTTTCTTTTTAAAATGCACATGAATTTTGTAAAAGAAGGTAAATTGGATACAATTACCTTTTATAAATATCTACTTGTGTGCAACTAAACAGCTATGGTCAAGTTGTAATTTTCCATATTGATCCTTCTGTCTTGTTATTAAGCTATATCTATTTATAAAGACCCACTAAAATAAAATGGCATCTATCATTGAATTTTACCATGCTTAAATTACAATTTGTATTATCTGTCAATCCCACTGTATTCCAACTGTGGTCTCAAATTATTATCACAGAACCTAGAAAGTTCTGTGGTTCCAAGTGACTTCAAAAAGTTCTATTGATTCCTAAATTTTTATGAAAATTTTAAATAATTGATTTATGTATAGTTCATCTTCATTTTTAACTATCTGATGATGATTTTTATAAATAAAAATAAATGCCTCATGACATAAAAATTGTACTATATGAATAAATAATTGTAATACTTTATACATTTTATTTTATTTTAAAACAATTTTCAATATGAAAAATAAGGAAAGTTTTTTGGAATATGAATTTAAGATTTATATATGAAGGAACTTAATAAAAAGGACTATTATCAAATCATTATTTTGACCAAACAGCAGTGTTAGTAATAAATGTGTTTGAGAGGTATTTCCATGGTATTATGTAGGTGATCTTTCCTTATATATATTTGTGATCTTATAGCACAAGTCTTGTCCTTTGCATAGTTAGCATTAATTTAACATAAATTAGATTTATGTAATATAGATTTTCTCCAAGGAATGGGCTTACAAAGCATTTGTTGTCATTTCATACTTCTAAACAATGTTTGCCTTTCTGTTATGCTAATATTGTTTTTACTAGCTATCTTATTTTAATGGAAATGTATGCAATTATTTGTAATTCTAGGTTGGTGAAAATTATTCTAAGCTTATTAATATTAATGGCAGTTGATAAGGTATAATATTGCTCATGATGAAACTATCCTTCTTTTCCCCAGAAGCTACCTTCTGTTTATCAAAGCCATATTCTGCCTGCCCTTTGAATTCATATCTTTATGAATACAAATAAGTTTCACATTTTAGAATCATGTCAGGGTGATGAGAGGCTTGGAAGGCTGAAATAAAGGTTAAAGTTTACTACAAAATGCTACATTTGTCATCCCAATTACAAAATAAGTCATTAATTGCAAGACAAGTGCATTTGATTAGTGGCATAGTTCATGACTATTTCCATTAGGAAGAAGAAGCTTTACTTCTAATGAAAGCATTCGGACCCAAAGAATACGGAATGAGTGCACTATAGATAAAATGTTAATAGATTTCTTATTGGTGACTTCAAAGGAACAGCATAAAAACACAGACTAGAATGTTGCAATAACAAATAGAACTCTCTTCTGAGGATGTTCTAGCAAAATCATGTGATAAAATCACCTGGTTTCTAAAATGTTGTAATAGGTTTTATCATCTGTTAAAAACCCATTGGGAATCAAACCTATCAATTAACTTTGGTCTAAAGCTAGGCAAAGACCAAGTAAATATATGGATAGCAAAGATCAAATAAGTATATGGATAGCTTTCCTTGTGAGATGTTAAAAGGTGAATTCTACACATTGGATCTTGTTTGCTAAAACACAGAAATATGTAAGAGGGTAATATAAAGGAAAAACACAATATAAGTTTTTTATCTTGTAGCAACTCAATAAATGTATATATTGATAATTATATAAATAATTGCTCATAAAATAATTTAATTAACCTACAAATTTCCTAAGGTCTTTCATTATTTTTTTAAGGCAAGGAAGCAATGAGAACTCAGATTTTAAATTTGGAGTTTTTCTTCTCTAATATATTTTTCTCTTATATGATTAATAGGCAACATTTTTCTTGATCAATTAATGAAAATTTTGATGTATTAGACCTTGAGTTATGATTTGAGCTACACATTATTTTTCAGGGGTTACTTTTAGCCAGGCATGGTGGCATATGCCTATAATCTGAATGTCTTTAGAGGCTGAGGCCTGAGGGTCGTGTGTTCAAAGTCAGCCTCGGCACACGGACCCTGTTTCAGAATAAAAAAGAAAAAAGAAAAGAAAAGATTACTCTATTATTATTTGAAACACACTTAGGAATATTCTAAATAACCTAATATAATATTTTAATTTTTTATTGTTTTGTGATTTGTCAAAAATCTAGTGAAAGAATGTTTCTTTTCAATGTATGTGAATTAAAATCCCATGTTAAGTGAAAAATTCAGGCTCCAGCCTTTCTGCTGATTCAGAATTAAAATCATTATTTAGAAAGAATCTATATATCCAGAATCAATTTATTTAGATCACATTGGATTTTTGAGGAAAGAACAAAGTGGTTTTCTAAAATTAGAATTAACTATTAAATAACTCTATGCTTAAGAATTCATTCATCATGCTGCATTTTATTCAGAAAGCTGAGATAAAATGCCAGAAATTTTCACTTTATAGAATCATAAACTTTATATTTTGGAAGAATTCAGTCTGAACACCCAAGAAATGCCTATATCCCAATAATAATCCTCCTTACTCCTATTTAAATATTAATAGTTATAGGCAAACTATTTTCTTTTTGGACATTTCCTTCTTTCCTTTAGAATTTTTTAAACCTTAAATTGGGTCAAAATTCATGAGAAGCTACTAAACATTTGTCCTAATTCTCTTTGACAATCAAATAAGACAAAGTACATTTCACAGACCAAATCTTCAAATATTTGGAGATAACTTTTTTTTTTTGTAGTGCTGGGGTTTGAACTCAGGGCCTACACCTTAAGCCACTCCACCAGCCCTTTTTTTGTGAAGGATTTCCCTGAGATAGGATCTTGCAAAGTATTTGCCAGGGCTGGCTTTGAACCTTGATCCTCCTGATCTCTGCCTCCTGAGTAGCTAGGATTACAGGCATGAGCTGCTGGCGCCCGGCTTAAAGATAATTTTATTTCTAATAATTATTCATTCACTTTCTAGGTACAAACTTATTATTCACTTCACTGTGCCTTATAGAATTTCAGGTTGTGAGATAATGTACTTTAATCTGAATACCCTCTGGTTTGTTTTTGTCTCTTATAATTACTGCAACTACTATTTATGTGCATAAAATTTCCTGTGAATAAATCCTAATTTTGAAACATACTTTAGGACAATATAAAAGATGTATAGCTCCAATAGTGAAGTATAAAGGACATGTAATACTTTTCTTTTGATTTTGATGCTCTTATTGCTAAATGTGCTTAATTTATTTGAAATCACCCCCTCAAAGCCATAGCAGGTTCTGTACAGGACATTGTACCCTAACTTGACCTATGTCATCAGATATATATAAATTTTTAGTTGTGTTTGATTGTAGCTAATTCAGTGGGAAGGAGAGACTTAATGGTTTTTGGTTAAGAATTTGAAATTGTAAAGGATGACCACTGAATTTTGGAAACAACACTACTCTTCTATGTTTGTAATAACAATTCTCCTTAAATGAACATTACCCCCGTATATCATACCATGTATTTATAACATTAATATATTATTTTTTAATATATTAAAAAATATTCCTTTTCTTTCTCCTTCCCTCTTTCCTTCCCCTGACATTACTGCTAGAATTACTTGAACTTTAAGCTGCAAGTGTCTGGCTGAATTAATTCTCTTGTAATAAACTGAAAATGTTCAAAGGGAGACAAAATTTAAAACTAGTGAAACTTAATCATTATATTAAGGGAAAAAACATTAAGAATGATACCTTTGGGTTTTGATAATGGTGTGGTATCAGTGGGCAAATTGGCACTTCTCCCTTCATTACTAACAGATGTCTATGTCTTCTTCAGCTTGTGATCAGCTGTCTCTTGGCGTGGCTGCCATCTTTGGACCTTCCCACAGCTCTTCAGCAAATGCAGTGCAGTCCATCTGCAATGCCCTGGGGGTTCCCCACATACAGACCCGCTGGAAACACCAGGTGTCAGACAACAAAGATTCCTTCTATGTCAGTCTCTACCCAGACTTCTCTTCACTCAGCCGTGCCATTTTAGACTTGGTGCAGTTTTTCAAGTGGAAAACCGTCACAGTTGTATATGATGACAGCACTGGTAAGAAAAATCAGTACATTTTGAGCTATGCTTTAAATACACATTATTCTCTGGAACCCATTCCAGATTCTTACTGTATTTTTTCATGTTTTATTCTAGTGGGTTTTTTGTTTGTTCAGTTTTAGATTAAATTAAAGGGTGGAGGGACATTTTGAACCAAACACTAACTCTAATTTCACATATCCAAACAAATAATGGATGAATCACATAATTTTTCTCTGTATTTATAAAATATGCACTTTTTTCTGTGAAGGGTCAGCTAGCTTAAACCATAAATTAGACAAAGGATAGAAGTAATATGAAAAATAATATTCAAATATTTATTCAAAGAATTCTTCTGCTAGGTGGAGGGTAATTTCCCAAAGCAAAGTCTTATGATTGGCTGTCAGTGAAACTTCTCGAGAAATTCACAATTTAGCCTTAATATTTTTTTCTGTCTATATGCAAATAATGCATATGTAAAGTAATACATTTTTATGTTTATAAGGTATGTTGGTGTTTTAAAATGATTTTTCTCAAATGTGGAATGACATAATACCCATTGAAATAGTCAAAAGTTTTTGTAACTGTTTTTGTGTAGACTCCATTTAGAGATTTAGAATTTGCTAAAATGATATCCATTTCGGTGTCTTAAATGAATACTTTCATTTTAATGAGTATTTGCAATCTAGATGTTGCCTTGCTTTCTTTTAATGTATGTTATTATTTTGTATATGGATAGTTAAAAAACAAGCCTCAGAGAGATATAAGAATATAAATAGTACAAGTAAATTTAAAATTTTTGCTGACAGTTGTATTGGTGAAGGAACTATAAAATAATACTTGATTTCATTTGAGGACATTTTAAACAGTCTGAAGTAGTGCTCTTAAATGTGTATGCAAAACATTTTTTAGGACATTCCACTTGATTTACTTCAAGATTGAAATTCATTTGAATTTAAATTATTCCCCAATATGACAGGAACACACTTTGTTCCTTTGTTTCTATAGACTTTGTATGCTTTTGTACCAAACTCTGTGTGGAAATTTGTCCTTTTGCTAATAAAACTGAGTACTGCCAATTAACAAATAGGAATTCTTCTAAGAGAACAGGGAGTTATAGGGTTAGACAAACGATGTAATTTTTAAGCAGTTTTCCTTGGGATACATGTTAATTAAATACAAATTAATAATATTGTCTTCATGTCAAAAATGTGAAATATTTATGAATAATTTAAACTTTTATCAATTAAAGTCCTTAAAGTATCTTTGATGGATCTTTCCACTCAAATTAGATTTATAGGGTGTATTATAATATCTTTTTCCCTAATCATTATCTTTTTTTCACCATTTGTAAAGTTCCATATGCAATCTTTTGAATGGGAGACTTTGTGAATGGTTTGTTGAGTTCATATACTGTATAATGATCCAGAACATCCTCAGTTACTAATTGGTCCACTTATTTTCTGTTTATGGATGTTCATAAATAGTGTGGCATGTTTATTTTACACACGTGAATGCTGAGTGACTGAATAAAGAAACAATGAAATTTTTGACCATGTTATTCCACAGTGTGGCAAAGTAAAATTTCATATTCAGTTGAACTTTCTTTGCTATAAATTATATTGTAAACATTTCTACATATAGTCAAATATATACACAGCTAATTACATTTATATACTTTTAGTGGAGTTCTGACTTCATATTGAATATATTAAAATAGTTTAAGTTACTATTTAAAAGAAGCTTTGCTATTCCATTGCTTTGAAAATGACATAGGTACTTGGACACTTTCAAAGGAATTGATTATTTAAATAAAGTAATTATAGATTTATTTGTAGAATAAGTGTGTCTTAACAATCCTCTGAGGGAAATGTTTATTAATGTCCCATTTTATGCTGCATTTAACTCAATGAATTTTTTTAGGCACCCTCTACTTGCCCGAGTCAGTCACACCTGTGGTTATTCTCCTCAAGAAGTCCCTTCCCTTGTTGAGCTTCTAATCTACATTTAGGAACATGTGGTTGTTCTTGTTTTTATATTATTCTTAGTGAAGTAATTTCATTTGTGAATGGTTATTTGTTATCTTTCTAAATTTACACCACTTCTGAGAATGTGGGTGTTCTGGATCATTTTATATAATATATTTGACTTGGAGCTAGGCAGAAGAGTCCCTTTGAACTGAATTCATAAGTGTATTTAAATATTCTTTTTGGTTTTTTGCTGGCATTTTCAACTCTCAATCTTATGATAGAATTTTAAAAAAGAATTTGTAAAGTTACCAAGTAAACAGATTATTCTTTTGACAATGTGGGAGGAAATATGATAATAGCCAGGACTGTGAACTGAAATGGATAACCCCTCCCCTCACACCCAGCAAGATAAACATCATGGGCTCTATTATGGACATATGTATCAACTGTTCATTGCAGGACACACATGTGCCATTTTATTTACATGTTTCCTTTTTCCTTTTCCAGATTTATTTATTACATATGCTATTCCTACTATTTTTATGCATTTCTGTTTTGTTGTGTTGTCCAGTTTGACACATGATAATTATACTTTCATCCAGTGTTTGTTCCCACTTCCAAAACAGATGGAATGATAGATGAAATATAGTGCTAGAGCAGAAGAAATTCTTAAAATGATGTTAACAGGAGCTATTTATTTTTTATGATAATTAGCATTTGTTGTTGTCATGGATGAATGCTTTTTAAACACCATGAGAGTCTGTTATAGCTCTGAATGATGTCCAAAAAATTGATGGGGAAAAAAATTAGCTTCACAAACAAAGCTGTGTTTCTGTCAGTCACTTTGGAACATATGATTCACTTTAAATAAAAACTAAAAATAAGTTGGATCAATGTCAGCCTGTAAGCAATTCCAGAATACGTTGTGAATATTTGCTTAAAAATTCCTGTGTTTCATCTTTGTTTATAGATCAGCAGTCCATTATCAAAGAACTGGGATTCTAATCCCAGTTTGGCTACTAAATTACTAGAACAACATTGGAAAAGAGAAGGGAATGGCGATGACTACAGAAATGAGTTATAATGCATTAGACATTGTTGTAGTTTCTGTCACAAAAATTATCTTACTTAATCCATATGGCAATTCAGTGAGCCCCAAAGGAAACAGGTTATTACTTCATCAAGCTGGCTTCCTCCTATGACTGGCTTTCCCTCCAACTAGCAGCCTAAGATAGGAGCATAAACACATACCTTGATTCTTTCCTTATGTGGGTTCCACAATCATGATTGATGATCCTACAGATCATCAATTCTATCCCCTTCTGATCTCTCAACTCTATTTATTTCTTCCATATTGTGCCACATCTTAGGTCAAAATCGGCATCATCTTTCATGTGGATTATTACTAACAGTATTCAAACTAGACTTTCTTTTTCAGTTATGCATTTCAATAATTCAGTCTCTATAATTCATATAAAGTAATTTTTTAAATGCAGTGTGGATTGATTCCTCCCATACAAGCTTTTTATTGTCATAAAATTAAATTTGAAAAGAGAATTGAGGGGAGAGAATGTTAACTCTTTTAGTTAGTGATGGGAATTTAGTGATTATTTTTATGAATTTGAATATTTAACAATTTGAGCTTTACAGAAAAAAGTCCAATGACTTTATTTTCAGAAAAAATAAAAATATTTCATTAACTTTATTAATTGGGGAGGAATATATTTATATACTGTGTTCTATATATGTCATGTGTGCTTTTGTATTTAGTTTAATAAAATGTAAAGCCAATTAATAGTGAAGAATGAATTTTACTTTATCTAGAAACTATATTTAAGTAGGGTAAAATAAAGTAAGTTCAATTTCAGTAAAGTTGAAAATAAATATTCCTGGAATATACTAATTTTGAATAATATAACTGTTTTTGTAATTGCAAAACATAGAACAAAATAATTTCATTTTTATTCAGAAAGTGGGGTAATTTGGGCCTAAGATGATTATATGCTGTACATTTTAAGTACAAAGCTTCAAGTGCTGCGTTTGCTAATTTCAAGTGCAAATTCAATTAGCAGTTACAAGTTAAACCTAATTGTTTGGATATAGTTGATTACATAGCTTGGTATAGTAGTGTTTCCACAAAGTTGGTTATGTTTGAACTTGGCTTGTTTGCTCCTACTTAAACAAGCATAAGCCTATTTAAAATACTATTTATTGAATTCTTATTAGATGATAGCAAATATTTGTAAATATAAACATAGGACTAATTAATTCTCTATGCTTTCAATCTTAAAATATATGTCAACACTAAAATACAAAAATAAATTTCTAATCCATAATAGTAACACAATTCATATTTCTGCAGATGGTGAAATAAATATATACTTTAGTCTAAAGAAATTATAGGGGTCAGATTTTATACCAAATATCAACAATATTTGCCTTTGATGAAAAAGAAAATGCTAACATGAAATGAGAAGAAAAATTTCAGAAAATGGTTAGACACTGCCAGTTTCCCTCAATTTAAATTTTCCCACATTTATGCATATCGGCATATGCATATTGGCAGGTACTTACTCCCTACCCTTTATTGCTCTTGTCTGTCTTCCTCTCTAGGCAGCAGAGTCAGAAGAAAAGTACACTATGATCTCTTTGAAGCACCCACTCTTTTGACTTCTTCCTTCCAGGGAAAAATAAAACTCTCCTGTTTTGGCCTCTTGAGTCTTCATTGTCTCCTCTTTGACCCCTTTTCAGCCTTTTTTTCCCATTCTCATACTCTTAAACTTCTCTGTTTTTCTGTACTTTAAATAGTTGTGTTACTCAGTGGTTTATTCCCAGTCTTTTTGTTTTCTCACTTGATCACCATACTCTCTGTAAAACCTTTCATCTGACCCTCTGCCTGTACACTGTAGATTCACCAATGTACACTTCCATCTCTTTGCAGAACCCCATACTCATAGATCCAGCCACCCACTGGTCGTCTTTATTTGAATGTCTCATAAACACATCTTACTCCACTTGACAAAAGACAGAATTTACCCCAAAACTTGC